ACTCTCTCCGTTGCCGTCGCAAGTGTGTGCGCTGGTACACTCCGTCACGCACGGGTTGGGGAGGTGTGAGGGGAGGTTGGGGGGAGGAGGGGGTGGAGGGAGGTTGGGGGAGGAGAGGGAGGGAGGGGAGGAGGGGTGGAGGGGAGAGGGGGAGGAGGGGGTGGAGGGGAGGCCACTTGCTCTCCGATCCGATTATGAAATATATTGCGGTAGAGGGTGAGCGCCAGGGGACTTTAACCGGGCGAAAATGCTCCTCGTTGAAGCATCGGTGTTTGAGGCATATTATCTCGTGTATATATTCTTGCTCACGGATCACTTGCTGCCATTACTTTGTCTTTCTTTGTGTGCGTTTTATCCTGTTCTGCTGTTGTTGTTTTTTTTTGCCTCGTATCAGAGCGGGTTGTGAAGATTCTTAAACGTCACCAATAGGATGAGGTTGACTCGGCATGAAGGAACACGATTAGCATATCGCGTAGGAGTGCAGAGGCAACAAGTGTATGTGTGTGTGTGTTTGTGCGTATCTACGCGCGTGTTTGTGTTTATGTATGTTTATCTGTATGCATGTGTTTACTGTTGAAAATGTGTGTGAAATTCAACCTCCATCTTCTCATCCGAATGTCTTCGTCAGACGCGCAGAAATCTTGACATCCGGAAAACTTTTGACTTCTCCCCCTCCTTCCCCTTCTTCCAATACCCCCCTGAGTCACATGAGGCTGACTAAATATTTCCCAGTCCTAAAGCTCCCCCCCCCTCCCCTCCTGTTGCACATGTCCTGCATAGAAATAGCGATCCTCTCCCCCACCCTTCTCCTCCTTCTGTAATCTTAATTCTTGTCTCCCTTTGTACCCTATTTCCACCCTAAGTATGAGGCCATATGAGTGAACCACAATCAGAACCCAACCCGTTTCTTCTGGCGGGGAAACCGTATTGCCAATGAAAACAAAATACAGAAGTTACCACAACAAACAAACACATCACATCAACACTGTGATACCATTGACTAGAAGGGAAAAATACCAAATGAATTTCCTGTGTCCGTGACGTCATAGCTCCTTTGAGTGGGGGGGGGGGGGGGGGTAAGGGGTAAGTATTGGTATCGTCCTACAGTGTATTTAAGTATCGTAGTATTGTTGAGAGAAAAGGTAGGTGCTTACGGCGATAATTATTACGGTATTATTAGTATTGTCTTATAATTTCCTGATCATCACCATTAGTTTTATAATAATATGGATAATAGCAATTATTTTTTGTCATTATCACTTCTCACGACTGTTGCTGTTATTGATGATGATGTTATCGTTAGAGTTTGTCGGTACGATTTAATTGATTACTTTGATTAATCGCATCAGAACGTGGGTTTAAATTAATAAAATTAAATACCAATATCATTATAAATCTTTTGCTCTCTTTCTATCACCCCCTCTCTCTTTGTCTCTTCCTTCCCCTCTTCGCATCTCTTTCTCCAACGCCAGCCCTTGCGAAACCGCGTCACCGCATCCTGCACACGAGCTCCAAGAACAGCTCGGCGAGAATGATGTCATGCACTCCTGGCGAAGATAAGGCACGCTAACGCTGCATGACGTCTGGGGTGTCTGAGGCTGTCATGCTTAGGCACCGTGGCCTTTGGTCTGTGCCGGCCATTTCTCGCGGTTTTGTTTGTAGTTTGTGTTTGTCCTGACTGCCATACTAAGCACTTTGTGAGGGTTAACATTTGAATGGAAGATCGATCTAGCAATAATAGGGATGTTGAAAGATCATATTTTATTAATGGTATTAAGTACAGCAATTACCATACTGAATATATAAATGATTATAACATTAGTTATATTGATAATGGCACTAACAGTAATAGATATAATTGCAACAATTGTAGGAATACAATGATAAAGATAACAACAAAGTAATGAAGCGTTATGATAATAGTAATAAAAATTATAATTAAAAAAACATGGTAATAGTACTGTATAATCTGATAATTGCTTAAACATCGCAAATTGCACCCGGAAACAGCAAGGCACCAAGGATTCATTGGAGTATCGCACATAACCGCATGTAAACCACACATTGTTCAGGTGCAAACACAGGCGCATGTTAGGTGGAGTGGCTGTTCCGTCACCTACTACCCCCCCCCCCCAACCGCCTCTTTTTTACCCCCCTCACGATTTCCAGGAACTCCCTATAAGCGGCATTGGGTGGCTCGGTTCTCGTGGAGTTTAACAAACCCAGCGGTTTAACGTAACATTTACAACGAAGAACGCCGCTAGATTGCACACAGCGTCAATGAGAACCGTATTGAACTACAACAAAGGAAATACGGATACTAACAGCGCACCCCTTCCATAAGCATACCACTCGATTGCATTCATACGCTGCGCACATCAACACGTCAATAGCAACAAGCACAGCCTCGCCGCCACAGGCACTCGCACGGACGCAGAGCCGCAGTCTGAGGAGTGAATCACCGCGCCAAGGCAGCAACACACGCGGGCTGACGTGGGTGGTTCCCTGGGCTCGTCAAGGGCATCGCCAGAGAGGTGTGGCAGAGGCAACGTTCCGCGAGATGGGCAGTTATTTCCTCTTCGCTCCACATTCCTTGACGCTGATCGCCTCGTCTTGGTGTTTTTTTTGTTTTTGTTTTTTTAAATTGCTTTCATATCTCTTTCGTGTTTATCTGATTTGGTGTTTGGGTTTTTTGTGTTGGTTCTCGCGCTGTGAAAGTTTTTTTGACTTTTTGATTTATGGCGCGAGTTTCCTCACGATGAGGACTTGTGAGTTATAACTTTTTTTTCCCTTGGTTTTGTAACGGTGGTTTGTGCGTGTGAGTGCGAGTTGCGTTCACGTAAGGGATGACACTGCAGTATTGCTCGCTGTCACATGCGAACTGACGAAACAATGGCGGAAAGAAGGAGGGAGGGAGGGAGGAAGGGAGGAAGGGAAGGAGAGAGTGAGTGAGAGTGAGAGCAGTGACGTGTCGGCAACCCTCCAAGCTCGCCAGCCCGCCAACCTTCCCAGCGCGGCGCAAGTGTCCCGATCCTCTAATTGTTGACTTCCTTTCCCCGCCAGGATACCCAATGACTCCCTCAATTACAACATATCAACCCTTTTTAAACCGCTGTCCTACTACCGCGCGCGCGCGCGTCTCGCCGATTTGCTGGCCTTAGCTTTGTCATTCATTCCTTTACCGTCAAATGTTATGTATATATATATATATATATATATATATATATATATATAGTGTGTGTGTGTGTGTGTGTGTGTATATATAATGTGCGTGTGCGTGTACGTGTACGTGTGTGTGTGTGTGTGTGTATATGTATATATATATATATATATATATATATATATATATATAATATATATATATATATATAATATATATATATATATATATATGTATAATATATATATCTGTGTATATATATAATGTATATATATCTCTAATCTCTCTCTCTCTCTCTCTCTCTCTCTCTCTCTCTCTCTCTCTCTCTCTCTCTCTCTCTCTCTCTCTCTCTCTCTCTCTCTCTCTCTCTCTCTCTCTCTCTCTGCTCTATTCTCTCTCTCTCTCTCTATGCGCGGTCACAGACTCACATACTACAGACATATATATATATATATATATATATATATATATATATATATATATTATATATATATATATATATATGCTAAATATACGCAAACGTATATATACATTAACAGGTATATTACATGTATATATATTCTTGTGTTGATTGAATTCATGCAAAATCGATGCATACACAACCACACATATTGCCCAGTCATTTCGACCGACTCACCAATACTCGACCCAAACATCGCTCATCCACAGACTCGACAGCTATATGTGACTCATGACCTCATCCGAGAACAGTCTCTCCCTCGCCAACCTGAACACTTGTTGGCAGAGCGAAGGTAAACACTAACCTATAGGAGAGTGCGTTTGGTGCGTTTGTTCCAGTCCCGTGAAGTTGCTTGTTTAAGATAAACTGTTATTAGGGAGGGTAATCAACCGTAGAACGAGGCTTTTCCCAATGGTTTTCTTTGTTTTGGGTGATAAGGCTGGTTATAATGGCTATAATTGGGTTGTTAATGTTGATAATGAAGGTGGTAATTGGTGAACGGCGTGAGGTTATCGTTTTGATTATCCTTTTTAGTATTATATATGTGCGTATATTCACTGTTTTTGTTGATATCATGAGTAGCGTTGTATATGTTACTGTTACGATGATGATGATGGTGATGATGACGGGGATGGTGATGGGGAGAATGGGAATGATGGTGATGATGGCAATGGTGATGATAATGATGATGGCAATGGTGATGATAATGATGATGGCAATGGTGATGATAATGATGATGGGGTTGATATTGATGGTGATGATGGGGATGATTGACAAAATTAATGACAATACTGATGATATCAACAAATAGTGATAAATTGATAATAATGATGATGGTATGAATGATATTACTCATAAAGATAATTATGGTAATGTTATCGTTACCAATGATAACATTAATGGTAATAATAACGATATGATTATCTCTGCCTATAACTGATTAGAATTATGCTAAGTATGAAATTATTGTTTATGAAAATAGCAACACTAGTGATGATACTAACAATGGTAATAACAAAGAAACAGTTATCAAAGTGATGATGATATTAGATAAAGTTTATTAATTGTTATTGTTATTGCATATTTGTAACAACCATTGTTATATTACATTTATAAATGACACTTAGCTACTGTTTTGAATGAATGATATTTACGTTACTGCATAAGATCATGACCTATGGTTAAATCAGAAAAAAATATTCTGTTACCTTTTACCAACAGCAACAAAGATCACAATGTAAATATAACGAGTTGATATTTTTTCGAGTGTCATTTCATTCCTAGGAATAAGAAAATTATAGGGTGAGTGATGCGGTCAGTTGGATGAGTAAGCCGAAGCCACATCCGAGGCAACGTGTCCGGACGTGGCAGTACCCTTGT